TGTAATGTTAACTGGAAGAAAAACTAAGTCCATTTATAAGTAAAATACGGATAAACAGGTACAAAATTTTAACAAAATTTTCCTAGATACTAGCTTTTGATCATAAACAGGCTTCTGACCAAGTCTGGTACAAATCCAGGATAGTTTAAGAAAGTTATTAAAATTTTAACAACTTTAACCACAGATTGAATGCAATGTTTCCTAGCAGAAAAAAACTAAGTCCATTTATAAGTAAAATACGGAAAAACAGGATGTTTTTTTTTTTACAAAATTTAATTCTGGATACTATCTTATGATTATAAACAAGCTTCTGTCCAAGTTTGGTAGAAATCCAGGATAGTTTAAGAAAGTTATTAAAATTTTAAAAACTTTACAGCTCTTCTATAAAAGCATGCAAAGCAAACCTTTGATCAACTTGCTTGCTATGTTTGTTTGGATGTTTGTAAACAAAAGGTAGGTAGTCTGTTTCAGTCTGTTTTCTATATCATAGAATTTGATTGGATAATAAACATTAACTTCATTGCATGTCAATTTTTATTGTCCAATCAAATCCCAGTATATATAAAACAGACTGAAACTCCGCCTACCTATTGTTTGCAAACATCCAAGCAAACATAGCAAGCAAGTTGACCAAAGGTTTGCTTTGCATGCTTTCATAGAAGAGCTGTAACCACGAAGGGAATGTAATGTTTCCTGGCAGAAAAACTAAGTCCACTGATTTATAAGTAAAATACGGAAAAACAGGATATTTGTTTTACAAAATTTACTTCTGGATACTATCTTATGATCTGTCCAAGTTTGGTAAAAATCCAGGATAGTTTAAGAAAGTAATTAAAATTTCAACAAACTTTAACCACAGAGTGAATATTTGTGGACGCCGCCGCCGTCGCCGCCGCCGTCGCCGCCGCCGATGACGACGACGACGACGGAATGTAGGATCGCTATGTCTCGCTTTTTCGACAAAAGTCAAAGGCTCGACAAAAATGGCCAAGGTGGCCTACTTTTGCTTAGATAGATACCTTTTCATAGAAATGCAAGTACAAAACGAAGTATTTTTACCTGCATGTGTATATCATCTGTTCTTTCTTTATTATTATTATTATTAATTTGTGGATATAAATGTCTTTTTATAGGCTGCAAATTATAGGTTTCATAACGAGTGAGAATTGGTTATCGCTTGATATCCGATTCTCACGAGTTGTAAAACCTCTTTCTGTTATGGTCAACGCTATCCTTGTGTTAAATGCAAAATTTCGCGAGTCATTGATCTAGTCTTATGCACATAATTCTTCAAATGTCGTAATATCGTCTCATGATGGTGAATAATCCACACAATTTAACGCAGTTTTCGTATCACACTCCGTGCAGTGTGATACGAGAAATTTCTCTTCATGAAAGAAATAGATAACAGGCCACAACCATTAGAGAATTAATAATTCAACACTTATTTTCTATTTTAATATACATTTCATATCACAATAAGATGATATCGTCCTATTATTTGCCGCTGGATCACAGACCCTAAACATATATATTTCCAACTCTTTGCATATGTGTTTTTCCTCTTATGATGGCAATCACTCCAATGTACTGTCGTTATGTTTGATTATAAAATTTGATATAATTGGTTTATACTTTTCAGTAATTACAGAAGCATTATATTAGACGAAAAGGTATACACTCGACGCTGAGATTGACAAAGTGGGGACTGTGTCAAAACATTAGTTATCGATTTCAACAGGTAAAATGCAATTTGCGTGATGTTAACCAGGTATCTTACACACTTCTTGCAGGGGCGGATCCAGCCATTTTAAAAGGGGGGGGGGGGGGGGGGGGTGGCGGTTCCAACCATTATGTCCCCATTCAAAAGCATTGATCGTCAAAAAAGGGAAGTTCCAACAACAACAAAAAAAAAAACAAGCAAACAATCTTTACTAAACCTGCACAAAGCTCTACAGTCTGATTGATTGTTTTCGCATGTCTCCATAGGCGTTCACTGACTTTGAAATTTTTACGTGCATAAAAGCGTGTTCTACATATACCCGACACCCGAACGATAATCGCAAGTTCTTTTTACACTATATTCTTTCTGCTCTTGGTCTATAGGTATCTCCATAATTATGGCGCCTATATAGGGTAACGAGAGGAGAACGACATGCGGTATATTTTATTACAAATGACAAAATTCTGGGGAACTCAAATCTAATTCCATACCTGGCCAATTCAAGGCAGTAAATTAAACTGTTGAGCATTATCCTGCTTGAAACTACTGCGTGTGAATCTAATATGATTGCTACTGTCCACAAAAACCTCCGTATGTATGCAATGCCGGTATCTGTAAATTTGTTCCCGAGGCTCCGCGTGTTGTCTGTAAATGGCATGAAAATTGTTTTTAATTGCCGCTTACACTGTGGGCATTTTTCTACGGTCGACTAAGAAGTATTCAGTGCATAGATTTCACAAAGAATCGGTATCCAAGCATATATTTGTGCACTCGTAGCATGAACAGAAACCTCAAAGAGAAATATGCAGGAATACGTATTTAGGATATCAAACCGGCGAAAAACGAGTCACATTTTACATAGAACCCTTAAAAAAAATCTCAATTTCAGTTTAAACTTGTTTTTTGTTTGTTTTTTAAAAGATTTCTTTAAAGTTTGACTTAAAGAAATAAACAAAGAAAAAACATGCATTAGAGGGTATCTTACAGACCGTGTCTGTTGTGACGTTTTTGATTTTAACGAATGTAATCTATGTATTACTGGTAAATTATTAAGCCAGGAATTTCGTTACAACATTTACTAACTTTTTCCACAGATATAAAGATTTGGTTTTGAAGTTTGGTTGTACCTGTAGAAAACTTATTTCAAACGGGATTGCACATCCTCATTTTTTACGGCAATATTGTTAACCGTGCTCGGAAATTTAGAAACGATCCTGGTAAACTTATCGATCCTTTAAATAAACTTATTCTAAAAGGTTACCAATTCAACACTGTAATTAGATCATTAAATCTTGTTTTTATTGGTACTAATATTGATTTTGTTATCAGTAAATTAATAGCAAACTAAATATTATTGTTATATACTGTAACATATACACATTCATGGATCTACAATCTGTCGATACCTGTATCTTAGCATTGCACAAGGTCGTGTTTTTCTCAGACTGTTTATGACGTCTTTACACTAAATCCGTTGGATGTTGGATGTGTACGGATTGATAATTTAGTCTTAGATGCATGATTTTTTTTTATTAGTTGTTATTGGCTTTGAACTAGCTGTCAGTAACTGCGAGTACTCTCAGATCTGTACTTAGTGTCTTTTTGTTGTTTGGATGTACAAGTACCCGGCCACGTCTACTTGTATTTGTAGTATTTGTATTTTTATCCATCTGATGAGTTAAGCCTCTTTCAGCTGATTTTTAAAGTTCGTTCTTAAGTTGTACTGTTACACCACTGTCCCAGGTTAAGGGGAGGGTTGGGATCCCGCTAACATGTTTTACCTCGCCACATTCTGTATGTATGTGCCTGTCCCAAGTCAGGAGCCTGCAATTCAGTGGTTGTCGTTTGTTTATGTGTTACATATTTGTTTTTCGTTCATTTTTTGTACATAAATTAGGTCGTTAGTTTTCTCGTTTGAATTGTTTTACATCGTCATTTCGGGGCCTTTTATAGCTGACTGTGTGGTATGGGCTTTGTTCATTGTTGAAGGCCGTACGGTGACCTATAGTTGTAGTTTTCTGTGTCATTTGGTCTCTTGTGGAGAGTTGTCTCATTGGCAATCATACCACATCTTCTTTTTTATACTATATAAGTTTTATGGTCACCATCACGAATTGGTTGACCAATACGATGTGTCAGTGTCGCAATTCAATATGTTTTCGCGGCATAAGATCCTCAGATAAAATGTACCAATGTAGTCCTCTAATATGCGATTTTAATGATTGTGTTCTATTTCCGATAATTGTGACATCTTGACTGAGTGTGCATTAGCATAGCAAGAAAAGTTTAGCATGTCGACACATTTGGTCTCGCTGCTTTTGGATGTCATGCGATACAAAAATCTTAAAATACTGTTTTGTATTTTAAGAGTCATTCTCCATAAATATCAAAAGTAATTGGAAAAATCTAGAAACGCATAGTCACAGATTTTAATGAAATTTTGTATCCAGACTCCTTTAAGATGTCTTATTGTGGAAAAAATGTCAAAAGTCGAAAAAAAAATCTGGTTGCCATGGAAACTGAGTACCCTCATTTTTAGCCATTTATCATGGGAAAAACGTGATTTTTTTTAGATTTTCAGCACTTCATATTGCAAAATACACTGAATTTGCAATAATGTAGCATATTCTATTCAAATCCATCATAATTTAACTTTATATAACTAAAGTTTTGAAGATTAAAACTAATTTCTAAACATGCAGTGGCATGCATATAAAGTTGTCATTTGGCACTCTTGTCATAAAGTTAAAAAAAGTGATTTTTCAGCCTTTTTTAAGAATCTAACAAAAAAAAAAACTGGACAACAGACCTTATTGAAACTATTTTACAATGAAGTTCCATTAGTAATCATAACAATATTAAAAAATTAGAGAGGTGATATTTTGTGTTAATGTTTTTTTTTAATTTGAAAATTGCTCTTAACCCTGATATTTAACAAAATCTACATAAATGCAGTGATACATAACCGGTAACCGGTATATAACCAGACTGCATAAGAGATATTGAGACAAAAGAAAACTTATGAACAGCCTTTTGAGAGAAATAGACAATACTTTTTCAGTTTTATCATTTAATATGGTTGCCATGGCAACACAATTTTGTCTATACATAGCATATTAGTAGCACCAAAAGAATAGAGTGCATACATCGTTTTGCATAAGAGTATTAAAAACAACATGACTATGCAAAATTATTGTAAGTATGCATGAATTAAAATAATACATGTAAACCAAAAAAATCTCAACATCACCCCCCCCCCCCCCTCCATTCCCCCTTTTCCCAATTTTTTTTAATTCATAAGGGGCAAGAATTTTATGTACAATATCAGCCTAAATTGTTAATATGGAACATTTAGACCCAGACACCCCCTACTTTTACAGCTTCACACTATATTATGTGACCTACTGGCCAAGGACCTATTATCACTGTTGCATCATATAACTCAGTTGTTAACACGAATTCTGCATAAACTACCCCTTTAGATTGATTGATTATTTGATAATGAAAAATTCATAGAGTTAGATTATTTGGTAGCCATTTTGGATTTCTGATCGTCATCAAATTAATAATTATTATATATATATTGATCAAGACCTAGATAGGAACATATACACTAAGTTTGGTTTCAATTCCTACAGAGGTTCTTTACAGGATAAAAAAAGCTCTGTTTAATTATGTTTAGAGGCTATCACATAGAAGATAAAAATATGAAATGTTAACGAACGGATAATGGAAGGACAGACAAGGAATAATAAGTGATGACTAGTATGAACTAATATAATTATAATATATAACACAATAAAATTGTCTGAATTGAGTTGCCGAGTCAAATTGTTGATGGTTTCCTCCCTGACTGCATCAGAACTGGATTCGTCAAGCTTCAACTTTCTACATAAACGGGAAAATTACTTGTAATTTGTTGAACAGAGAGTATTTCACTATAGAGGAAACGCCTAGTGCCATCTTCATTTTTTTCGATCAACATTGCTTCTGACACACTGTATTGGTCTTCTTTTCTACCACTTTTTTGTCCTTTATTAAATTTTTCATTTAGATAATCAGTTTGATTTTTGTTAAACCTCTTGTTTTTTCTCTCATCTTTCAACGCCCAACCCATGTCCAATTCAGAATCAGATGTTGATAGTTTGGTTGCAGATGGCATGATCATTAGTTGTTTATTTACACTTGATTCAGCAACCTTTTCAAGGTATTTAACTTTGGAAATATCAGAGCTGCAACTGGATTTTTGATCAAATACAAGTGTACATTTTTCAGAATACAAGTGATTTGTTAGTTCTTCATTGCTTGCAAACGTTTTTGTGCAACCCTCAGTTGAGCAAATCACCACATCTTCAGAATCTGTTTCAGGTACATTTATCTTCTGTTTCAGTTCATGGAAGTTTATGTGATCCGAATCTTCAATCACTTGGAGTTTAATTGACTCCACTGTGGATATGTTTGAAATAAGACATCCTAGAAAGAAAAAAAAATGTCAATGTATCAAAAAGATTTATTATTATGTTTCAGCATAAATTGCACAACTCATTAGTGCCACACTTACTTTTACATGTGTTATATATATATATATATATATATAGTTATGAAATACTTGAAACATGATCTTAGAAATTGATTTAACTCAATATTGATAAAGTTGAATATTTTGTATGATTATGAATGTTTTGTAATAACTAGTGTATGATTTGTGATGATGAATGCGTTCATATTATAAATTGGTTAAAGAAGGCTTCAGATAGCATTTTTCAAAATTTATTGTTTCGATAAATGTTGTTCAAGTTGACAAAGTTACTAAATATGTTCATATGCCATATTCATTTATATGTTAGGTTAATTCAGTGAAACAAATACACATTTAACATGTAAAAGATGTTATAAAATGAATTTCTTGTCTCAATTTTGAATAATTATAATAATCAAACAGGTTTTTATATCAATTTATTTGTATATAAACTTGACCAATTCACTCACATATTCAGACTTTTATGTGCTAAGTGGTGATTTGATCTAGTATATACACCAATAAATTTCTTTAAAAACCTGTTTGAATCATACAATATACAAGAAGTTCTTTTGAGACTTTTAAAAAACTGTATATTAATGTTAGCTTGTTGCCCAATTTTGTTCTATAGTTTATGATGAAACTGCTGGTCATTATTTGTGAGTAAGTTTTGAATTCACATATTTTGGACAGAGACATGATTGATAATTCTTCAACACGTGTAATTTTGATGTAGAGCAACTGGTGGAAATTTAGTTCTATGAAAGATTTAGACTTATACATAATTTAAAATTTGTTTCTGAGAAACTATAAACTGAACTGCAGAGCATTATAGAACTATAATCTTCAGCAACCTCTGCATTCACGAAAATGGTCAAAATTTTATAATACCTACCTTGGCCAATATTGTATGCCTTCCATACTCTGATTCCATTTCTCTCAAAGGTGAAGTTTGAATATGTTGATATTGATGGAATAACGCGTTCCACATTTTTAGGTTTTGCTGTCATATTGTCTACCACTTTTATTCTATATCTAACATTCTTCATTGACTTTCCAATGGCCTGAAAAAAAAATAACAATATATTGATTGCTAATTTGGATAATTTTCTTTGATAATCAATATCTTGTGACCATGAACAATTGAGACGTTATTGATATTTTACATTCATATTGAAAGCTTTTGGTTTCAAACTACTAAATTGCAGTCATTTACAAGAATAAAAAACAGATTTATCTGTTAAATTATATTTTGCGGTCGTATAAAAAGATAAAATGAAAAGCATCAATACAAATTTTTGGGTAGTGCTTATTTTATGTGTAGGGATCCAGGGAAAACAGGAATTTTATTTCAGGCCCAACATTCAGCAGCTATTTCGATGCATAAACAAGATGAGCATATGAGCAACACAAAATGTTCATTTTACATAAACTAGAGACTCTCAAGAGCCTGTGTCGCTCATCTGTATCGACTGTGGATTTGGAAATCATGTGAAATAAGTTAAAATCATAATAAATAGTATAAAATACCCCAATAAAGATTGAGACTAAGTTTGGGTTAATTTGGTCCAGTAGTTCAATTAAAGCAGGTCATCTCATTGCAGTCTTACAATAGTTACCGAAGACCCTTTATCATTTAAATCAGTTTTCAAGTTGTGTCCATTTGAATTTATTTCTTTTTTACAATTTTTTTATAGTGAACACCTATGTTCTAATTTTAGCCATGGAAGCCATCTTGGTTGAGAGGCAGATTCATTGGATACATTTTTAAAATCAGATACCCTAAGGAATGTTTAGGCCAAGTTTGGTTTAATTTGGCCGAGTAGTTTCAGAGAAGATTTTTGTTAAGGTTTCCAAAATTTGAGAAAAAATGACTCTAAAGAGCTACTCCTTATTGGATCAATTGACAATAATTTTGGTCATGTTGACCTACAATGTATTTGTAGATCTTACTTTGCTGAACAAATTTGCTGTTTATCTCTACCTATAATAATATTCAAGTTAATGATGTTTATCTCTACCTATAATAATATTCAAGTAAATAACCAACATGACCAAACACTGCAAAATTTTCTTAAATTTCCAATTTAGGGGCAGCAACCTAACAACAGGTTGTCTGATAAGTATGAAAATTTCATGGCAGATTGATTTTGACTTGATGAACATTTTTTTGCTCTAAGTTCCTCAGAAAGATGAGACGAAAAATATTTATGGGACGGATGGACAGACAGAGATAAAATAGTATTCCCCCACTTTTTCAGTGGTGATATAAAAAATGTGACGAAAATTTACTACTTGGCTACTCATGTGTAAAATGATGTAAGTGTTCGGTAAACAGGAAGTTGTTGAGTGATGAATCTGAAACGCATCACAAGGTATAGCTGACTTATATAAACCCTGAAACCAAATTTCATAAATCCTTCTAATGTGATTCCTGAGAAAGATGCGACGAAAAATATTCTTGGGACAGACGGACGGACTGACGGATGGACAGACAGAGGTAAAACAGTATACCCCCACTTTTTTAAAGTGGGGTTACAATGATTCAGCTTGAGTGAACAATAAATGATATCATAAAAGAGCTATATAATGTTATACCTGTGTAGATTGCAGTTCAATTGTTTCTGAATCTGAGAAAATATTACTTCCATCAAACTCCATTTGACATGTCTCATGTGTCTGTAAGTAAATCATATAAAATTTAAATTCACCACATGGCAACAACTTGTTGAGAGTAAATCTCAGAGGATTAAATTTTTTGAACATGCACATTCTGTTGATGGGCCTCACTGTGACTTTTAGATGAAGAACAACAATGCAAGTGCTGTTCCTTTGCTTTTTGTGTTTATTTGTTGTGGTGTGTGTACTGATTTTGTGTCATGGATGGATACCCCATATCATTAGTTTTTCTTTGTGTTTATCTGTTGTTGTGTGTCTTCTGATTTTGTGTCATGGATGGATACCCCATATCCTTAGTTTTTCTTTGTGTTTATTTGTTGTTGTGTGTCTACTGATTTTGTGTCATGGATGGATACATGTACCCCATATCCTTAGTTTTTCTTTCTGTTTATCTGTTGTTGTGTGTCTACTGATTTTGTGTCATGGATGGATACCCCATATCCTTAGTTTTTCTTTGTGTTTATTTGTTGTTGTGTGTCTACTGATTTTGTGTCATGGATGGATACATGTACCCCATATCCTTAGTTTTTCTTTCTGTTTATCTGTTGTTGTGTGTCTACTGATTTTGTGTCATGGATGGATACCCCATATCCTTAGTTTTTCTTTGTGTTTATTTGTTGATGTGTGTCTACTGATTTTGTGTCATGGATGGATACCCCATATCCTTAGTTTTTCTATTATAAAATTATAACATGTAAAGTAAAATTTGTAAAAAAAATCAAAGTGAAAAATAATTTTGTTGTTGACCAGAAGATTGTTTTAGAGGTAATCTGTTCATGAGGACTGCAATAGTGAAAATAAAATATCAACATATCTATATACTATAAACATTCAAACATGAAATCTTGATCCAATCAAATGTTTTTACAGCTATCAAAATTATGAAATTCCAATATTAGACATGTTAAACAGACCACCTGCTAATTTAATATGCCATATACCTAAAGTTGAAATAAATGCCTCAAAGACAGCTATGTTGAATTATTCTAGCATAATTAAGCATAAAATCAAATTTACATAAAGACTATACAAGTTTTGTAGTACTTACAATCACATCTGCTTGTGTCTCAATTGTATTTTGGCTCTCATTCAAATTATCTATACATTGTATTGAAGTGTCTTTAATCTAAATATAGATAACAGACTTGAAAACAATAATCAGACAGACAGACAGAAAAAGCAGAGACAGATTTCTTGTGTTTTACTTTGTTTTTCATTTTTATTCTTTTGTAAAGACAGGACTAGCCTTAAACATGCATGACAAAACAAGCTATTTGAATAAGTGTATTAGAAATCATTATTCATCTGATTGAAATTAAGAGAAGCAAAAATATTTGTCATAAGGACATCCTTTAAAACATAAGAAAAAATATTCATACAAATATGACAAATCTGACTCATAGATTATCTTTTTTTAAATAGATCTGAAATCAAATATAAACTTTTTAAAAATTACATATATCCTATATATTTTTGTCTCAAATTTTGTCTAATTTTATGTCTTGTGTTATTGGGTTTCTGTACTCATTGACCTCTAACCTAAGAGTAGTGATAGTCATGTCATAGTGTACATTGTTTATCAGTTTTACTATAGGAGATACATGGTGACCTTTTGATATTCTAGGGAGTTAGGGGGAGGGTTCAAGGGGATTTTGAAAATGAATGGCTCAACTTTGTAAGAATGTCTGCCTATAAATAGTTTGAAACTATATAATTAAACTTATACAATAAAGAAAATAAATAATTGTGATACTAAAACTAAAAAGTCATACTGCTCTGCAGAAGAAAAAAAAAAGCTGTCTCTAAAAACAAGAACTTGTACCCTTTGAGAATATCAAATGATTGTCCCGGGCTCAAGTAAATTTTCAAAGAACTCTGTAATATTAAAAACAGAAGTTACTTAGTTAGATCTGCTATGTGACATGAAATGTTGTCAATTTTTTCCTCACAATGGCCAAATTAAATACAATTATATTAAACGGAAGAACTTCTAAGATAGAACATTTAAAAGATACAAAGGCGTAGCACCCTCCCTTGCTCTAAAAGTTGAGTTTTACAGGATGTTTTGCATTTGTACATCTACCCCCCCCCCCCCCTATCCTTATACAAAAATAAATTGACTTACGTGTTCCTACTGGTAAAACAACGCCAGTTTTTCTGAATAAAGTTGTAACATCATCAAACTGCAGACATTTACTTCTTTTTCTTTTCTTGTCACTGTGCCGAACAACTTCAGACGACTGAGTAATGAGTATCTATCTATCTCTCTCTATCTTCATATTTCCGCACTCAGTCACAACTTTGACTATTACGTGCCGTTGCATGCGTGGCTTATTTACAATTTAAAAGAAATAAATTTTCAGTAATTTTACGTTACATTGCATTGGTGCATAGAAAATGAAGTAAAAATATAACAGTGATTTAATAAATTTTTTTGTGGATTGTTATCCTATGTATATTTCATGTTAAAACTATGTACATGTTATGCAGTTTTTAGAATATTTGTGAAAGAGCAGATATAGAAATCTGCTCTTTGAAGCCTTCGACTGTTGTACAAAGGATTGCTGGTGTAGGAGGTAGGTTCCATTGTACTATTGTATGTGGATAAAATGAGAACTTGTAAGAATCTTTATTTGTTTGAATTTGTTTAAAGTGGTTGGTATGTTTATATCTTGTTCTACTGTCTGATTTAACGAGAAGATCTTTAGGGTAGATTGCTATGTGTTGATGTATGATCTTATAGAATACCACTAGTCTTGTTTGTATACGTCTCAATTCTAATGTAGGCCACTGTAAGTGATCAAGCATATTTGAGACTGAGCTGGTATTGTGATATCTATTACATGTATAGCGAGCAGCTCTTCGTTGGACCATCTCAATTTGATTGATTTGGTTTTTGTTGTGAGGGTCCCAGACGCAAGAGCTGTACTCAAGCTTAGGTCTAACTAATGACATGTATGCCCTTTCTTTAATTTGTTTGGATGAAACTTTAAGGTTACGTTTTAGGAAATTAAGTTGTCGATTTGCATTAGCTGTTATATTATTTATGTGTTTATTCCATTTGAGATCAGATTGGATGGTTATGCCTAAATATTTTGTAGCTGTTTCAGTTTGGAGAATGTGACCATGAAGGATGTAGTCATGGTTGACTGGTTTCTTTTTTTGTGTAATTCTAAGTATGGAGCATTTGTCTGGGTGAAATGACATTAACCAGTCTTTTTCCCATTGTGCCGCTGAATTTAAATCCTGTTGTAGTTTGGATGCATCATCTATGTTTTTGATGTTTCTATAGATGATGCTGTCATCAGCAAATAACCTTAAGGTGCTGTGTTGTAAATATTCTGGGAAATCATTTATGTAAATGAGGAATAAGATTGGGCCAAGGACAGTGCCCTGTGGCACTCCAGATGTTACCCCAATTTTTTCTGATTGTTCTCCATCTAGCATGACTGTCTGTGTACGATGGTGTAAAAAATCACCAATCCATTCCAAGGTATTATTGTCTATGCCGTAGTATTTTAATTTGTAAAGTAACCTTTTGTGAGGGACTTTGTCAAAAGCTTTGGCAAAGTCCATCACAACGACATCAGTTTGTATGTTGTTATTGTTGTCTCTTGCTAGGTCCTGTATGAAAGATAGTAATTGTGTCTCACAAGAGCGTTTTGATCGGAAACCATGTTGTAAATCATATAAAATATTGTTTTTTTCGAGATGTTCCATTATTTGACTAGCTATGATATGCTCCATAATTTTGCAAAGTATACATGTTAGTGAAATTGGCCTGTAATTTATGGCATTGTTTTTGTCGCCTTTTTGAATGCAGGACAGACATTTGCATGTTTCCAGTCTGTAGGTATTTTATGAGTGTTAATTGACTTTTGGAAAATGAGTGTGATGATAGGACTGAGATGATCTTTCATTTCCTTTAATACCTTTCCACATAGTTCATCAGGGCCTGTGGCTTTATTTGGATTGATGTTATGAAGTAGTTTGTTGACGCCCTTTTCTGATATTTTAATTTCATTCATTTGTGGATGTGATGATAAGTTTTTTACTGGTATTGGATCTGCAGATGATTCAGTAGTGAATGCTTTTTGAAATTGCTCGTTGAGGATGTTCGCCTTATCTTTGGTGTTTGTTATGAGCAATCCATCCTTTTTTAGGGCAGCTACACCTGAATTATCATTTCTCATGCTCTTGATATATGAGAACAGGTTTTTAGGTGTGTGCTTTTTGTTGGTGCTTCCAGGTTCTTCAATTGGAAGGTCTAGGATCATGTTTTCAATATAATGCCAATAAGCTGAGCGCATGTCTGCCTGCAATGTTTTTTTCATATGTTTGTATTTAATTTGCAGATGATGATTTTTCTTAGATTTTTTATGCAGACGTTTTGTTTTGTTAATCTTAATTCTTAGTTGGTCTGTGATCCAAGGCAATTTCATTTTGTGTGTTATTTGTTTTTGTGGTATGTTAGTACTGATGGTCTTTATAAGATCTTCTTTGAATGTTAGCCAAAGTTCATTTGTGTTACTCTTATTATATATAGTTTTTATCTTTTCTTCTAGTACTTGTATGTCTGATTTAATGTTTTCCCAGTTTGCTTTTTTGAATTGACAAATTTGTCTTGCTGGTTTTTTGTTCCTTTTCAGTGATATTTTACATTCAGTGAATACGATGTCATGATCTGCATTCCCAATAGGTGGCATTAATTCCAGTTTATTTTTTATGTTTGGTGCATTTGTTAAGATTAGATCGAGTATTCTTTCACCTCTTGTTGGTTTGTCTACTATTTGCTCAAGAGAGTGGTCATTTATTATGTCAATAAAAGTTTGATGTTGTTTGTTATCTGGCTTTCCAGGAATTACTGATGGTATTTGCCAGTCTATATGACCAAGGTTGAAATCCCCCCCTAAGATAATAGTAGCTTTTGAGTTCCCATTTGTACGGCTTAGAGATGTATTAAGTTCTTCAAGTGAAGAACCTGTGTCTGAAGGTGGTCTGTAGTAGCAACCAAGAATTAATTTTCTAGAGTTAGCTATATTCACTTCAGCCCATACATTCTCACAGTTTGTTTGTAGTTCTGAGATTTCATCAGATATGATGTCTTTTGATATGGCAATTAGGACACCACCATGACTTTGATTTTTTTCATTTGGTGGACGATCTTTCCTGTATACATTGTAGTCTGATATTTGAAAGTAATCATAGGAGGATGTTTCTTTATCTAGCCAAGTTTCAGTTCCAAATATTATATTTGGCTTAACAGAGTCTAAGATCTCTTCTAGTTCAGGTTTTTTGTTTTTTATTGATTGAAAATTTATGTTAAGTACTCTAAGTGGTGTATGTTTGGGTGTTTTTCTACCTGGTTTATAACTTTGCTTTTTTGGAGATGAAGTTGCTTTTGGTTCTCCAGGGCTCATACATGAATGTTCACTTAGGCTTGAGAATCGATTACTTGTTTCTATCGATGACATATTAAATAGAGATGATGAGAAATTTGGCATTCTACATTAGATGCAATCCCAAGAAATGTTTGATGAGTCCATACAAGAGTACATGCCAGAATTAATTCCTTGACAATCTATATGATACCATACCTGACATGTATCACAACAAAGTGCTTTGTGTTTCCACGTGACAGCTTTGTTACATGACCCACAGGGCCATCTTGGTGCATGAACGTGGACCTGGATTTAGCTCGGTGTCTCCTGATATTGTTATAAGAAGAATAAGTAGGTATGTATTTGTATGTTTGATATCTTTGTATTTAAGTTTCTCCAGTACAAGTCTCATGTTGATGGAGTATGTTGATGTAATCTGTGTATGATGAATACTACAGTTTTCATTTGTATGCTTGTTTGTGTTTGGTGTAATATAAATATTTATGGTTACCATCAATGAAATTAACATATAGATTATGATATGCAAATTCATGGTTGTTTACTTAGTTATTATATTTATTTAAATTATAACCTTTTGATTTTGGTGCATATATAGATAGAGTGCACGAGTTTGGAAGTGTGCAACTTAATCAGATAACATAAAATACCTGGGGATGTATAATCTTCGTACCCTGGGCTCCTCAGGGTCACAGCATGGGGAAGATATAGATAGCCTGTT